CGAGACGCGCTGAGCTTGGTCTCAGACGTGGCTCTGGTCAGACGACCAGGCTGACACCAGTCCAGCCAATTTCTTTTTTTTTTTCTTTTTTTTTTTTAAATCATTAAGCACAGATGCCCTCCACATGCACTGATGGATAAAGGAGGAGGGACCATGTGTTCATCTGCTCATCAGCGGTACCCACATTGCTTGTTTTCCAGCAGAAAGCCTCCTTCTGGGAACCCAGGCAGGGATCTCACCACCCCTCCAGGTCTCCTTGCTGCCACAGGAGCTCGCATCTGGGTCTTGGCCCTTCTAGGGAAGGTCCATAGACCAATCTCCTTTTGGTGCTATGTTTTCTTGGTGGACATCCATGTTAATTTATCATGTTGGGTTATCAGTCATGCATGCAGTGTCACCTCTGCAAGTGGCCCATGTGAAGGTCCCACAAAACCTGATCTGGTTGAAGATGTCCCTGCTCACTGCAGAGGGGTCGGACCAGATGACCTTCAAATGTCTCTTCCAACCCAAACCATTCAATGATTTTCTGATTCAATGGAAATGAGGAGGCTTTTGTTAGCAGTTTAAGGTAGATAATACCATGGCGAGTGTTGTGTCAGGGTTGATGTTTGGTTGGAGATTCGGCCCCTGGGACCACAGAGGAATGGGGCAGAGGAGGGGGATGTGATGATGAGAAGTTTAGAAAGAGGGGTGTTGCTGGACAGCAGGATGACCATGAGCCGGCAATGTGCCCTTGAGGCCAAGAAGGCCAATGGCATCCTGGGGTGTATCAGAAGGGCTGTGGTTAGTAGGTCGAGAGAGGTTTTCCTTCCCCTCTGCTCTGCCCTGGTGAGACCACATCTGGAATATTGTGTCCAGTTCTGGGCCCCTCAGTTCAAGAAGGACAGGGTATTGCTTGAAAGAGTCCAGCGCAGGGCCACGAGGATGATCGAGGGAGTGGAGCATCTCCCTTATGAGGAGCGGCTGAGGGAGCTGGGTCTCTTTAGCTTGGAGCAGATGAGACTGAGGGGTGACCTCATGAATGTTTATAAATTTGTGAAGGGCGAGTGTCAGGAGGAAGGAGCCAGGCTCTTCTCAGTGATAGCCAGTGACAGGACAAGGGGCAATGGGTGCAAGCTGGAACACAGGAGGTTCCACTTAAATTTGAGAAGAAACTTCTTCTCAGTGAGGGTGACAGAGCACTGGACCAGGCTGCCCAGAGAGGTTGTGGAGTCTCCTTCTCTGGAGACATTCAAAACCTGCCTGGACGCGTTTCTGTGTGACCTCCTCTGGGTGATCCTGCTCTGGCAGGGAGGTTGGACTAGATGATCTTTCGAGGTCCCTTCCAACTCCTAACATTCTGTGATTCTGTGATTCTTCCCAAACTCCTAATGTTTTATGCCAGAGCTTGGAAAGAAAAAAGTACAGATGGCATGGTTTTGTTGTCTTAAATACGTTCATGTGTCAAGGAGAAAAGCCACAGCAGGAAATTTCTGCCACTTCCAAGCGATGTGTGGAGTCCTGCTACAGCTTGGATTGACCAAGCATGGCGCCGTTACTGGTAAATTTTGGTGTTTCCATGGTGTGAATCTCCTGTATCCACCTTTAGCTGGACCTCCTTGGTTTCAGCAGCTTTTAATTTTTTGGAGATGTTTCTCCAGAGTCCCATCCTCCAGGATTTCTATATGGATGAAGCATTTTCTGTAGTATTCCTCCCTGGAGCAGGGTAAAGCTGGAGAAATCCTGGTTGTGCCTTTTTTTGAGCAATTTTGGGCAGAACTTGATGTTTGTGAAGGTGATGGGCAAGCTCACAGCTTATCTTGCTGGTTGTTGTGTTGGGAAGTAGCTGAGATTATGCTTCTGTGGAGGATCCTCCTTCCTCTCCAAGGTAAAAGTCAGGGCAGCCCTTCAGGGGAGTGGTAAAAATACAGGAAAAAAAAATGTTTTCAGTGGAATGTGATGTTGAGTAACATGGTTGTGCTGGGGCATCGCCGTCTTCATCACTGACCACACCAAACTTCCAAAAAACATTACCCCACAGACTTTGGGTATCGGACTATTGCCTTAATTTCTCCCCTTCATGCAGAAACACGCTCTGCTTCAGATTGCCGTTCTCTGTAGACCCACATATAAGTGATCAATGTGACACAATTCTCTAAATTCCTGAGGGCAGACTCTATTTTCAGTTATTTATTTATTTATTTATTTTTCCACAATAAGCTTGCACAATGCATTGGGGGAACCTGACAGAGAGCCTCTGGGCAGACTGTAATGCAAACTATGGAAAATAATAACCCAACAATAGCAGCAAATGGAGGGATGCTTAATAACGAAATCATAGCGTGGATGTTTGTAGCATTCAATATTGTCATTGTTTGCTGGAATATGGGAATGCTCCCAGTTTGCTGAGAGTTTTCCAAGCATTTAAAAAGGGATGTGTTTGCTCTGAGGCGCTCATAAAAATGATGCTTTTAATTCAAAACAAGAATCCCGAAGCGTTTCTCTGTCACACATGACGACACGTTGAGATCCTGTAGTGATGGTTGAGGTCCAGGGTGATGTGGCTGTGAATTTCCTGGGATCTGGGATTTTGTGTGGGCGGAGATGGGAGTTGGTGGGTCCAGATGAACCTGGTGGGGTGTTCTGGGGCAAAATCCATTTATTTGCTTCATTTGCCTGCATCATTGTCACCAAAAAGAGCCTTTTGGGGACAAATATATCCATCCCTGTAGGAAGAATCTCTGTGTCACTTTTTCCTCCTCTCTCGCCTCAGCTGCCCAAGTGATGCCAATTGCTTTTCCCATCCATTTTCCCCGATGGTTGCCAGACTCGGGGAGGCTGTGCCAGGGTCCCGACACCCCTGAAAAGCGGCTTTGGTGGCGGCTGGCAGGGCCACATGGTCTTGTTTATCCCAGCTCAGCCCTTGGGTTCTCATGACTTTTTGGCTAGACGAGCAGTCAACAGCCACATCCTGCAAATGGAAGAGGCTCTGGCATATTTATACTGCGTGCTGGTGTCGGCTCCTGGAAAAAAAGAAAAAGGAAAATATCTTGGATTACCTAAGACTTGTCCTTGAGGTCTGATCACCCCATGTCATTGAAAAACTGAGTAGGATTCATTCATGAACTTCCAGCCCTCCATAAAGGTCTGTTCATTCATAGCCAAGGCAGTTTTCTTTTTTTTTAAATTATTTTTATTTATTTTTTTTAATGCTCTGGCAATTAAATAACCCTTTGTAAGCAGTAATGAGCTGCTTCTTAAGTGGTCTTCGCTAATGCAAGCACAAATATCAAGTGGAAAAAGTCTTTTATTTCCCTCCTCCTGAAAGGGATGCTCTTATGTTCAAATAAATAAAAATGTGTGGGGAATTTCAGTGGGGTTCAATGGCTGTTGCTCCAAAAATTCCCTCAAGTGCTGTAAAACAAAAAAGCAACAAGCCTTGAGCATCGCTGGTGCAGCAGAGCGGGGTCCATGGGTGGTCAAGATGGGGTTGGATCCAGGAGCATCCCCCCCCAGATTCCTGTCTCTTGGACATTCCCTTCAAAATTCCTCTATGACGGTGTTCACTTCCCCCCAACCTCCAGATTCCTTTATCTCCCAGTTGGATGGGAAAATGCTATCCTGGGGGTGTTTCTTGCCCTGCTGTGTGCACTCTTGGGTGGGGGGCACCCCTTTTGGGTTTGGGGGAAGGGTAACCCAAGTCGCCCACCTCATTTTCCCTCAATCCCTCATGTGGTGCCAGGTTTCGGCAGGATATAAAAATCATCCACAACAAAGTTTTGGGAGGCACTGAAAAGGGGATATGTGGAAGGACAAACAAAGGGGCACACCTCAAGGGGTGCTTTCCTGGGGACCTCTTCCTTTGCTGGAGCCCCTATCTCCAGTTTCACCCAGGAGCAAGGGTCCCTTTTTTGGGGCGTATGCAGCCAGGCCCATTTTTAATAGCTGCCTCCAGCAACTGGAGAAATATTTTCCTGGCTGGCACAGAAATGAGGAAATTTAAGAGGGTGGCTGGTTGGGTTTTGGTTTTTTTTTTTTTTAATTTAAAAGCACAGTGTAGGGTTTGAAGCACAACTTGGAGATGGGAGGAAAACACCTGTGTCACTGCCATTGCTCATCCTGAGGGGAGAGGTTTGGGAGGCTGCTACGGGGATGCAGGGAGAGATTTTGGGTGATGGGTCACCCCCCATCCCTGCTACCATCCCTGCTCCCGTGGTGCAGGGGATTATTTCAGTAGCACTCGTTAACTTGCCTTCCCAGCTTGGATTTTTTCTTTTTAATATATATTTTTTAAATACAGTTGTAGAGATGAATAGTTTCCAGGTCTTAACATGCCCACCGAGGCTGGGAGGAATTACCCACCAAGCAGCACTGGGGATTCTCTGTCACCAAAAAGGGGCTTTGGGAACAAATTTCTGAGTTTTTTCTTTTAGGTTTTTTTAGGCTGATTTTGTTAATAAGCATGAGATTTCTGCCTATGGGCAGGGAAAAGGCCTGTGAACCAGAGCAAGTGAGTTTGTGTCCCTCCAGTCCCATGGGGTGACCTTCAATGTGCTTTTTCTTAGTAGCACCCCAGTTTTTTTCAGCCTCTATGCAGTAGGTGGTTACTTATAGAAATGGATCCATCGTATTTTGGGTGCAAATGAGGTGTTTTAGGGTGTTTGCTCTTGCTGGAGCATCTTGTCTCTTCTGTTGGCGCTGAAAGTGGTCCTAGTGATGGTTTGGGTGAGGGTTGGCTGTGCCGTGGGGTGCTGGTGGGTCTCAAGCCTCTTCAGAAGGTGAACCTGGTGATTTAGGACCCATAATGGGATTCCCCCAAACCTGGGTCACCTTAAATGGTCTTACAGTGGCCTTAAGACACGGCTTTTGGAAATGGTGGATGTGCTATGGGTGTTGGTGTGTGCATGGAGAGCATTGTAAAGACATGGGCAGGCAAGGACCTGCCAGCATTGTGTCGCTTTTGGGTCATATTATTCCCCCAATGCTTAATTTCTCCTTTTCTTCCTTTTTTATTCCTGCAGATTCCCAAATTCTTCAGGAGCTGGGGGATCGTGCACACTGGTGTGTGGTGGCATACTGGGAAGAGAAGATGCGCGTGGGGCGGCTGTACTCTGTCCAAGAGTCTTCCCTGGATATCTTCTATGATCTACCTCAGGGGAATGGCTTCTGCCTCGGGCAGCTCAACTCGGACAACAAGAGCAAACTGGTGCAGAAGGTGCGCAGCAAGATCGGCTATGGCATCCAGCTCACCAAGGAAGTGGATGGTGTGTGGGTGTACAACCGCAGCAGTTACCCCATCTTCATCAAGTCGGCCACACTGGACAACCCCGACTCCAGGACATTGCTGGTTCACAAAGTCTTTCCAGGTTTTTCCATCAAGGCTTTTGACTATGAGAAGGCCTACAGCTTGCAGAGACCCAACGACCATGAGTTCACGCAGCAGCCGTGGATGGGATTTACTGTTCAAATCAGCTTCGTGAAGGGCTGGGGCCAGTGCTACACCAGACAGTTCATCAGCAGCTGCCCCTGCTGGTTGGAGGTTATTTTTAATAACCGATGACTCGAGACAGAGCGGCCTCACAACATTTATACTACTTTGCTGCTATTATTTTTTTCTGAGTGCTTGCTTTTCACACAAACTTTTTGGTTTTTTGTTTTTGTGTTTTTGTTTGTTTGTTT